AGTAAGGCGAACGATTGGATGCCTCGCTGCCCCAACTCAAGCGTATTTCTAGATTGGCAACTATGACCCATCATTTTAGTTTATAAAGAGTTTGGCATTTTATGTTTTCGTCAATCCCTTTCGTTTATTCAACTTTCTCATTAATATAGTCTGCTCATTATATTTATTTCCCAGTAACCTCTTACGTCTTATTGATATTATCGCTTTACATGTGGAGCAACGCTAAAAAATACCTCAGAATACGAGATATAACTTGCTAAGTGACCTGAAGGGAAGTTTATATGCATGGAAGAAAATACAATCTCTCTCTCTCTCTCTCTCTCTCTCTGGACTATCTCATTCGTCAACAAAGCCCAATTAAGTGATCCTGTTAGTGAATCAATGAAGTCTTTGGTAAGTTTTATATACATTTTTTAATTTATTTAGCTTGAAAACATTGACTTTGTACTTCGCTAAATTCCAGATTTGGCTTCCTACGTTATTTGGCTATTGCTAAAGCTGAAACCGATCTCAGATCTACCACCTCTTTGTATAGACGTCTTGCATGACACTTACCAGAGTAGAGTGCAATAAAAAAAAACAACTATCAACCCACAATCTACACGTAACCCTGAGAAAAATACCAGTCGAAAAGACAAGAGTCCTTTGTAAATCAAATTACTGAAAACATCTCATTATAAGTGAGATCATGTATATGAAACGTCTCTCACTTGCCATCAGCCTCACCCTGTTTGAAAATGGGAGTTGCGTGTTGAAAGTGTTTTAAAAATAGAAAGTCTCTCACTCGAATTCTAGCCATGCCTAAGACCCGATGGCTCGTAATTAACGCTAGAGAAGAATTCAAAACTACTCAAATAACACATGCCCGACAGTCAAAATATGAAAAGAAACTAACAACACCAAAAATAAAATCCTCTTGAAAATGGCTAAAGAAGTGGACGCGGAGCGCTTTGGGCAATGAACCATGTGAAGAGCTTTTGTACTGGCACCAAACGGGAAAATGTAAGGTGGAAAAACCAAATAAAAAAAACATAAGATATTCCTTCTCCGTCATAGTTAACGAAATATTTTTAAGAGAAACTCTGCTGGCCAAATATATATGCCACCCTACTGACAATAGCTTATAGTAGTGGTCGGACTGTGTACACCTGAGAAGTGATTCTTTGTTTAGAAAACCTCCGCCATGTTATATGGTGTTGATCTCTTTTCATTCTGGTGTGCATACACGGCTAACTCTTTTCAAGTGGTGCTTAGTTCTATTTGTATTTGAAAGATCTTCCATTGGTGTCTCCGTGGCATTGAGCATATTTTTGACTCACCGATGAGGTATTTTTTCTAAGGGGAGGGGTTTAATTCTTTGTTTACAGATATTTTTTTACAGATATATTTTTATCTTGGCCGGATGGGTGCTTTCCTCCTTCCAGGTAAGACTGGTTTGCTTGTGCATTTGTCTACATCTTGGGCTTTCCTGGTGGTATAAAAACTCCCATTTTCGAATTACAATCACCGACAGCCTAGCTATTGCTTGAAGGCATGAAACATATACTGATCAGATTGTGTTCAACTAAGAGATGATTCTACGCTGATTTTTATATTCATCAATGATCTTCCAGATTTCAACAGTTCCCAAATAATGATTTATGCAGATGGAACCACCATTTATTCATGTCTCAATAGCAACTTCGTCAGAGCTGACAAAGCTAACCTGGCCGCTGCTGTTGACAAGGACCTCCAATCAATTATGACAGGAAAACTGCTCCCATTTAACCATCAAAGAGAAACTTTCCTGTCCGCCATCAGCATGTCTGATACTAGACTCCTGGAGAGCATTACACTGCGCCTTCTTCGCCTCAACTGATTTGAAGTGGAACGACTACATCGTATAATTAGCTGCAGCTACGGTAAGAAAAGTGGAGTCACTGTGTCGTGGTAGAATGTTTTTTATTCACCAAAATCCATCTTGTGCAATTACAAATCTACTATTCCTCTGTGCATTGAGATACTGCTGAGACATCTGGTCTGGTTCTTCTGCTCTTCATTTCCAGTTCCTTGACAAACTCCAAAGAAGGATTTGAACGATGGTGACTAGGCATATCGACTTCAGTCACATTCTCACTAACGTGACGAGGATTACTTCTGTTGTTTCTAGAAATATTTTCATGGCAACTGAAAACTGAAAATTGACGAGCTTTTTTCCTTGGTGCTCCGACTACGTGCATTTAAGCGTGATACTAGATTGGCATTGAGGTCCCACCCGTTTACTGTTGGAATCGCTAAATATAACCGCCACTTCTACTCCAACACTTTTATTTCTAACACTTCTGTTTAATGGCTTCCCTGATAAGTACAATTTAAAAAAACTGTAAATGCAACTTCAATCGCTATCTTCTGTCTTCGTGAACCCCCTATAATCTTTTATCCTTCACTCGACCACTCCCATAGGCAGTCTTTTACCTCCTTTTCACTCTATGTGACCCCTTGCTTACCAATGGCATTCCGGCTTTGCTTGAGGGGAAGTGATTAATATATATATATATATATATATATATATATATATATATATATAAAGTGAACTGAAGTCAACACTCACGGCGACAGGCTGATTAATGCTAGACGCAATCGTCTAACATGGAACAGCCTGTCGCCTCTGAGTGTTGACTTCAATGTTCACTTTTATATTTACATACGCTCTATCTGATATTGGGCCCTTTATTCCATCAATATAGCACATTTTAAAACTCTCTCTCTCGCTTTCTCTCTCTCTCTCTCTATATATATATATATATATATATATATATATATATATATATATATATATACTGCGTGCCAAATTATTATCGAGATAACTTTTTCTTATAATATTTCAAAAACCGTCCACAATTCACACAATGTCGGAAACACTGACTTGCACAATCACTGAAATTTTCGTACTGATCTGCGCAATGTAAACAAACTGGCGCCATATTTGTAATCAGCACGGTGATTTGACCGTGCCAAATTATTAGAAAGGTTTAGTAAAATCCCCAGAATTGAGCAAACGAAACGTTTATTAATGTTGAACGTGAATGTTTATGATCAAAAGAAGCTAATAAATAAGATAATCAAACAAATAATAACAGATACAAACAAACGCACAGTTTTAAACAAATTAATAGGGAATGTGCTTTCTCTGTTTTGAAATTACTTGAAGAAGACGATGATTCATAGAATTTGTTAATTGTAGGATGTCATCTGCTGTAATGCCGCGAGATATGTCAAGAATTGCTTCCCACAACTCAGCGTTGCTCCTGAATTGTCGTCCGTTGGCGTACAACTTCGCTTCATGATGCTCCAAATCCGGAGAATTTGCTCGCCAGTTCATTTTTCGAGGTCCATCGAAGTCTAACTGCTTCAAACATTCAGTAGTCTTGTGAGCAGCATGTGAGGGAGCATTATCTTATATAAAAACAATGGCCCTTCTGAAGGCAACTATTTGCCTTTTCATCCACGGTTCAAGATGCTCCTTCATAAATGCTCTGTATGCATCAGCAGTCATTTTGACGCCATTTGGTACTCTCCATGGGCCCACTAATGTGTTTCCAATAATACCACCCCAGATCATCATGCCTTCACCGCCTTGTTGGCGTCTCAAACGCTGATGGCGATTCTGTCCGTCCATTGCTCAGCCTTTGCACCAACTATCTGGCCCATCAAGTGTTGCTAGAGTTTCGTCTGTGAACAAAACTTTAGAGAAGTCAATCTTCATATTGTCCTCGGCCCATTTCAATCAATTTGAATGTGATTTCTCGTCAACGCAAGCTCCGATACAGGTTTGACTGTTGTTGCTATTTCCCTCAGATACCAACACCGAGTAATTTTAGACACAGTAGGATCCCCAGGACTGAAAAGCTCTTCACTGGTAAATCCAGGGTTCTTCGTTACCTCTCGTTTAAGTCGTGACATGAGACGACGTGAAATAACCCTCGGCTTGCCTTTATCTGCCCTTTTGCGTACTTGTGTAGGGTCGGTGGTGAACTTTTTCACTGTTTGATGACACCTCCCTATCATTTTAGAAATTTCTAGGGTAGATTTACCTTTTGAGAGTTCTGAGGTGATAGGTTTCTTTTCAGCAACACTTAAACTGATTTTATGGCCCATCTTTTCACTAAATTCTTATACTTTTCTAATAATTTGGCACGCTCAAATCACCGTGCTGATAACACATATTTCTCAATCACCCCATTTACTATAGTTGTGTCATTTGAAATCTGGCGAAAATTTCAGTGATTGCGCAAGACAGAGTTGCCAACATTGTGTGAAAATTTTGTGTGAATTGATTGGACGGTTTTTTTATTTATAAAATCTTGATTGGACGGTTTTTAAATATATATAAATATTCATATATATATATAAAGAACGATAATTCAGATGTTTACGTCCGTATTAAATTTGCAAGATTTTAAAAGGGTGACCGCTAAATTTTGGATGTGGAGGGTGGTGTAATCGATAATTTAAGACAACGAAAATGTTGTTAAACATTGAGACATATATTGAGTTTGTTCTTCTCGCCGGATTTATTATTTTATATTCACATATACCAACGGATTACTACCTCTCTCTCCCCCATTCTCTCTCTCTTTCTTTATATATATATATATATATATATATATATATATTCACCAAAGAACGATAATTCAGAGTTTTACGTCCGTACCTAGAAGGGTGACCGCTTGATGGGTTAATCACTTGTTAAACAGTCTTTTTTCATTCAATAAGAAATTTATGATTATACCCCTCCCAACCAAAATTCAATAAGCATTAACCCCCACCAAAAATATTATACATTATTATTCCCCCCACCAAAAAAAAATTCTTAAACTTCAAATTCTGTCTGGCTTTAAAGAACCAGTAAATGGTTCATAAACCGTAGAAATCGAATCAGTTCATCAATTAAACAGTCAATCAGCCAGAGATCTACATTTAAAATATAAAAAAGCTACTTGATGCCCAGCCAGAATGTAATGATACCAGTTAGCCTTGTGCACGCATCCCTGGTAGCCCCAGTAGCCCTGGTAGCCCTGACATCCCTGGTAGCCCTAGTAGCCCTGGTACCCCGGGTAGCCCTGGTAGCCCTGACATCCCTGGTAGCCCTGGTAGTCATGGTAGTCCTGGCATCCCTGGTAGCCCTAGTAGCCCTGGTAGCCCTGACATCCCTGGTAGCCCTAGTAGCCCTTGGTAGCCCTGGCATCCCTGGTAGCCCTAGTAGCCCTTGGTAGCCCTGGCATCCCTGGTAGCTCAGGTAGTCCTGGTAGCCCTGGCATCCCTGGTAGCCCTAGTAGCCCTGGTAGCCCTGGCATCCCTGGTAGCCCTAGTAGCCCAGGAATCCCTGGTAGCCCTAGTAGCCTTGGTAGCCCTGACATCCCTGGTAGCCCTGACATCACTGGTAGCCCTGGTAGTCCTGGTAGCCCTGGCATCCCTGGTAGACCTAGTAGTCCTGGTAGCTCTGGCATCCCTTTAGCACTAGTAGACCTGACATCCCGTAGCCCTGTCATCCCTGGTAGCCCTGGTAGCCCTGGCATCCCTGGTAGCCCTAGTAGCCCTAGTAGCCCTGGTAGTCCTCGTATCCCTGGTAGCCCTGGCATCCCTAGTAGCCCTGGTAGTCCTCGTAGCCCTGGTAGTCCTGGTAGCCCTAGTAGCCCTAGTAGCCCTGGTAGTCCTCGTATCCCTGGTAGCCCTGGCATTCCTAGTAGCCCTGGTAGTCCTCGTAGCCCTGGTAGTCCTGGTAGCCCTGGCATCCCTGGTAGCCCTAGTTGCCCTGGTAGTCCTCGTATCCCTGGTATCCCTGGCATCCCTAGTATCGCTGGTAGCCCTGTAGCTCTGGCATCCCTGGTAGTCCTTGTATCCATAGTAGCCCTAGTATCCCTGGTGTCCCTGGTAGCTTTAGTAGCCCTAGCAGATCCGCATCTTATAGTCTCCGCAACTGGTAGTTCCATGCGATACAGAAACTTCAGGAAAGGATACCTTGCTATTTCTACGGAGTATCAAATAAAGATAAATTCGATAGAAGTTATTTTTTGTTTGTGTCTCTTTTTTCGTTCCGGAAACTTTACTTTATCTTTGATATATTTTTGTTTTATTTCTTTCTTTTTTTTTTTTTTGTTGGCCGTATGACCAGATCTTTATTTGCTATGACAAAATATATTTATTTGGAAGGAATAAGGGTGTATCAGCGGCGAACTTTGTTTTTATATTCTTGTCAAAATTATTTATTCACATTTGATATCTTCGACGAAATTCATTGTATATTAAAATGACTTTTTATCAGTCTTGACATCGCGAGCCACAACGACGACATTTCTTTCTGATATTTGTTTTCAGATACTGTTTCTTTTTTTGTGTTTCCTTTTTTTGATTTTTGTAAATCTTTATTTCCATTTTTTTTTTTTTTTTTTTTACTCTGTGATTTCTTCGGCTCTGTTCAAAATAAAAGATGTACAACACATCAAATCTGCAAAGTAAAATTGTAGATTAGTCCAGACACCAAATTTCAATGTCTGTACAAGATATTTCTTTGCCAATAGTTTATTATACTAGATTTCCTTAACCCACAGAATAACAGTTTTTTTTTCTTTATCATATTTTCAGCAAAGTATCTATGGCTTAAATTAATTAAATTAAATTCTTCTGAACCAATACGGGTAGACAACAAAAATAGAAATGAAAGAACCTCAATCAATATCTATCTATCTATCTATCTATCTATCTATCTATCTATCTATCATTAATACTACTACTAGTAACAATAATAATAATAACAAAAACAACAACGAAAAATTATTATTATTATGAACTAATAAAAAAAATGAAAAAAAATTCCAAGATGAGCATGATCACCATCATATTACGCATATTTCAGCTGCATGCATCACGCTGGCTGCGTTTCATTTGCTTTAACACGCTGATTACCATTACAGCCGTTTTCTAAAGACAAGTGGCGTTTCTACAGAGAATTATGATTTTTATGTAGATTTTTCAGTTATTTTTATACACGTAAAAAATAAATTAAACCTGATTGACATCCTGTCGAAATATCGTCGAACATTGCCAAACACTGTCTTTTCTTTTTCTTCTCTTAAATCGAGCTCTTCTCTAAGTGTTAATAATAATAACAATAACAAAGACAAAAACAAAAATCTATTAATCAAATAATAGCAAAAACAACAACAAATATGTATTATTAATAATAATAAGAGTGATTTGTAATATTCTCAATCACCACATCTACTATAGTTGTGTCATTTAATATATATATATATATATGTGTGTGTGTGTGTGTGTGTGTGTGTGTGTGTGTGTGTGTGTGTGTGTGTGCGTGTGCAGATATGTAGAAAAATAGGAAAGAAAACGTTAGGCAAATAATCCGGAGTTTTTTCGTATTTTTGTTTTTATTTAAAAACAAAAAACAAAAACAAAAACAGTGCTCCATACAGAAGTAGAGCTTAAATTATAATTATTTTAAAATAAAAATGAATCCTTCGCTACATAAGGGTTCTCATGTTCCAAAAACGAGAGCCGAAAAGATGAAACGGGTCTTGAAACTTTAACTCAATTTAATTTTAATAATTATATTGAGGTTTTCGGCTCTCGTTTTTGAAACATGATAACTCTTATGTAGCGAAGGAATTATATTTTTTTAAATTAATTATATATGTATATATATATATGACGTCACACATAATGAAACAGATATTCAAGTAAATGCTCTATTTATAATAAACAGCATTCAATATTTTAATACTGTTTATTTTAAACAGTATTAAATATTTAAATAATTTTTATTATAAACAGGGCATTTATTTAAATATATGTATCTATAAAAAGAATGTATAAATATAAAATGTCTTTATATATATATATATATATATATATATATATATATATATATATATATATATATATATAATATGGCAGTTCTCGGTGCCTTTATCTTGTATAATAATATCCAGACAGTGATGGTGTATCAACGTGTCTGAAAATCTTAGTACCAGGATATTGTGGGCTTTCCATAAATGTATAAGTTATTATAGCGCCTATTATATTCATTTGACTACACTGATTTGAAAGTTGAGTTGACAAGATCGTTGAGGATGTAGGAGAGGAATGTCATGGTCATCCATGTGGTTATTGGCGCCTTGGGATAAATCCCATGAAATCTGTATGACTTCCTTGACCAGCTGGGGATACCATGCCTAAATGGCGTCATCCAAAAATTGTCTCGTGTGGAGACTGCGCATATTTTGAGGGTAGTCTTGTCTATCTGTGGTCCTTGTTGTGATTTGGCAGATAACTTAATATACTTTGTGTATAAACTTACCCTCTGTGACAATTAATAAAAATAAAAACATTGACCGTTAACGCCAACCAAAATACTTCACCAGCAAGTTACTGCTGTTTAACTTATTACAAACCGATCAGATTTTTGTAGATTGCGCTCAGTATTGTACATAAAGACACAGTAGCAATTGTTAATAAATAAATAAAAAATTATTTCCAACTTCAAGGGCCATTCATAAACGAACGGAAAACGGAAATACCCAAGAGACATTGAAAACATGTCTTCATTACAGTTTATAGCAGAAACCCATGTTACTGTATGCTGCTCCTTAAATAATTATATGTGACCACGCACCTACAATAAATACCTCAGCAAGGAACTTTTCAAAGGAATCCTGATAACCCAAGTCTAAAACTGGCATTACATTATCAATAATAAAATAACTGTATAATGTATATAATAATAATAATGATAATAATAATAATAATAATATTAATAATAGACAGTCCTGGGTAGAAAGATAAACTACACCCGGCTGCAAGGTCTCTGATTGGTAGGTTCAAGGTTTTGAGGGTCGCAATTGATGTTGTTCCCTGACCCGGGGTGATCGTGCCTGTTAAGCAAAAACAAACTCTAGGAAAGTATAAATATACATTTTTATTGTAAAATTACCAACAATGTATATTTATATATAAAACAAAAAACAAAACAAAACAAGCAATACATTTTACTAGTATAATTACCAACAAGAGATTGTAATTGTAGCTGAAGGTATGCAATTTCGTTCAAAATATATTTAACTGAAGCCATATAATTTGGTTTGGAATATTTAGATTTCGGCATTAAATAACCCATAGAGATGTTGATATGCCGCCAATCAAAATTAACCATCAAAACAGCCAACATAAAAGAACACTTTGATAACTTTCCTCCATATAACATCCTACAATTTCTTAAATCAAACGACATTCCAAAAGAAACTTCAACAAAACTACAACATAAAACATATATATCACTAGTAATTATGTCCGCACACACATGTATATGCACAAATCAGAGCATTATGTACCATGTATTCAACTGTGAATGCAGAATAACTTTTTACCTCAAACCATCCAAGAAAATTTAATTTTGCCATTGAATGACCCATAAGCGTTTACACGAGGAAACGAAGACTCACTAATAGGAGTATTTAGGCTCAACTATCGTCCAGTTCACACTCCTCCCAAGTTTTTTTTTAAACAGGCGTAGATTTCTCATGTTTTATTTTTGTTTAGAATTGTGTTTCCAGTTCCATCTAAAGTCTTCTCATTCTCTTTCACTCCGAGTAAATCGTTGCATCTTAGTAGCATTATTGCATTTTGAGGGGTTAAATGATTCAATTCAACATATGTGTATGACTTAACGTCTAAGTAATAAACATATTTTTGATTAATAAATAAAATACATAAAATCTGCACACATTAACTTGTCTCTGTTTCGGATGAAAATCTGAACTACTAAAGTTTGCTTTAAGTGCAAATAGAACGTAGGCTTATTAGGAATGTCTGCGCAGCCAAGTGTTCAAATGCATATCGGATTTCGCCTGCAAAAGAGGACGCAGTTTCGAATCCGGTCAGAGGGCTCATTATATTTTGGAATATTTCCTGAATTTTCCGATCGGTAGACGAATAAAATTACTTTTGATAACTAGTCTCTAGTCAGATACGTATAACCACTAAAAATATCGTTTCAAGTGTTTGTGTTTGTGAGTGTGTTATATATATATATATATATATATATATATATATATAAATATTCATATGTAAACTTCGTCGGAGAAATGTTTCTAACACATCACTTGATAAGACACCAGAAGTTGGGAACAAAATGGCTATTTTTGTAGTGATTTTGTGTGTGTGTGTGTGTGTGTATATATATATATATATATATATATATATATATATATATATATATATATATATATATATATATATATAAACTTCAGGGGTCGGAGAAATGTTTCTAACACCATCACTTCATAGGACAACAGAAGTTTTGAAAAGAAATGACTGTTTATGTTATAATTTTTGAATATATATATATATATATATATATAATTTTATTTATTGTGGGTTACATTTCAAATTAGTCACAGCAGATTACTTTGCATGTGAACAAATGGTTCTGTTGTTAATATTTCGTCTTCTCAAGTGGTAAGACGTCATAGAACCGCATCATGAATTTACGACCTGACTCTGTTATTCCGCGACCGTGGTAGTAGCATAGAAAACCTCCATGTAAACATAACAGGATATATTTGATGGTGAATATCTTTGTTGAAATGTCCATATAACCATATTGATGATCTCTCATGTGAGCGGAAAGCTTAAATCGAGGAAGAGCATAATAAAGATATCCCGATGTTTTTGACTTTATTCTCCTCTGAAATTAAAGCAATTATACAATATGATCAAACATAATAAACATTCGCTTTCTTTGATATTTAACAATGTAAGTTTGAACACACACGCGCGCACACACACACACACACACATATATATATATATATATATATATATATATATATATATATATATATATATCGAAATATTTTAATACATAAACGTTATTTTAGTGGATACACGTATTTGAACATAGAGAATAAATTCTAGCTCCATTCTTATAATGCTGTTAGAAAAGAATGGAAAAGGTGTGCATCAGAAAAATAAATGTTTTTTAAAATAGGGTTCCATATTTGAAATATCGTGAGATAGCTGTGTGAGATTCGCTCCGTTTATTTTTTAAACAGTATATTTATCTACGCTTTACTGGCCTGAATATTCGAGAAATCTTACAGGAGAAAAAATGCGCCCTCCGGCCAGATTCGAACCTGCGTTACCCTAAATAAAAACAGAACTGTGTTTAACGTGCTTTAGACAAATCGGCCTCAGAATGCAACGATATGCAAGTAAAATTAAATAGTGCCATTAACATAACTCGAATATTCAGGGCGATAAACGAAAATAAATATACTACTCAATTTATAGTGGTTATTCAAATACGAGTATCCATTATAAATAATGGTTATTTAATAAAATCTGTCGGATTACTCATAAGACAATGTATTCATTTCTTTAGAAATTGCTTTTTTACGTTAAGATACGAAAATCAGCAGATTTAATCGAGACAAAAATCTATGTTTAAGGGCACTATTCAACTGGGTTTGGCCATCACCGTTTTCCGTAGCCAAGATTTTTAAGTACCGTTAGAAATAATGACTGTTTTACTTTTAGTTATAGTTAAGACAGAAGAAGACCGTCCTTTCCCCAATCCCCTTTTCGGCCTTGTGCCACATTTCTGTATTGTACAGAATAAATATCACATTTAGAGATGTCTGGTTCGAATCCAACCGATTGGAGCATAATTTTCTCTACTAATAATATTTCTTGAATAGAAGAAATTAAGTAAATATACTGTTTAATAAATAATAAGAGTATCCACTAAAAATAACATTTAATTAATAAAATATAACGGATAAAAAAAAACAACATTTTCTTTAAAATTACCAAAATATCTAACTTCAAACTGACAACAGATGAGTCATCATTGAAGTGTTTTTCTTACTGGTGCATTGCAGATGAATGTGGCAGGAACGGTACAGAATTGTTCGTTCTCTGAAGTTATCTGTTTTCCAATGGTTTCAATCTTTAAAAAGAAGTAAATTTGGTTTAGGACATTATAGAATGGATATTTAATTCAGGAAAATTCCAAAGACTTGCCTCAAGATAATATTCCAAACATGGAACCCAGTTTTGAAGAGCATTTATTTATTTATTTTATGCACGCTTTTTCAATTCTTTTTTAACAGCATTATCAAAATGCATCTAGAATTTATTTTCAATGTTCAAATCTTTATATGTAGAAAAATAAGGATTTAAAGAAGATACCTATATATATATATATATTATTTATTTACAACCAAATATACTAGTCAGTAAACATATCTATTTTTAATTTTGAGCAAATTGATCATTCTGTATGTGCGATTTTATCATTGCAAGGAACGGAATATGAAGCTATATAAAAGTCATTCAAATACAAAGGACTTGATTTATTTGCTATTATAATATAATTATAAACAATTTCTCACAAGTGAATAAAGCTAGTAGTCACTCATAATATCGTATTAACTGTTTGAGCCCTGACCAGCGCTTTACAGGTGGTAGATAAAAATGACGTAATGCCCAGCCACCGGAGGCTGAACAGTCGTAGAGAGAAATGACGTAATGCCCAGCCACATGCTGAACAGTGGTAGAAAAAAAATGGCGTAATGCCCAGCCACCGGCTGAACAGTGGTAGGGAGAAATGACGTAATACCCAGTCACAGGCTGAACAGTGGTAGAGAAAAATGGGGTAATGCCAAACAGTCGTAGAGAAAAATGATGTAATGCCCAACCACCGGTTGAACGGTGGTAGAGAAAAATGACGTAATGCCAAACCACGGGTTGAATGGTGTGTAAACACTTGCAACTATTTTATATAACATTATATAACAATTATTTGCAAATTTTGGCTCGGGAACTCAGCCAGAAGGACTAAAATTGTTGACGAATTCAGGAATTAAAGGGTTAAAATTAAATCCTCGATGCAATCCCAATTTGGTTTTTAGAGTGAACATTCACTAATGGGGATTTCATAAATATTCGAGAGGAATCTTTAGTTACCTTTAAATTACTTATGTATTCCAACGTGCTTCATTTGAGAAATACAAGAAAATCCAATAATTACAAAAATACCTCATATAGAAAGGAAAATCAGCCAGAAAAATGTTTAATAGAAAGACCATTTATACTACCAGTGACATCAATTAGATTAATTTGTTTAGGGTCTGGCTACTGTTGCTTCTCTCTCTCTCTCTCTCTCTTCATTCTCTCTTTGTCTCTCTCTCTCTCTTTCTCTCTCTCTCTCTCTCTCTCAGACAGACACACATATATATACACATACACACATTCTCTCTCTCTCTTAAACTCTCTCTCTCTCTCTCCCTCTCCCTCTCTCTCTCTGTTTTCAGTTACAGTATGCAAGACCGCCGACTTTAAGCAATGACGATCCTGGTCAGATAGATAGATAGATATTATCAGGGCTAGATAGATAGATAGATAGATAGATAGATAGATAGATAGATAGATAGATAGATAAAAATGAACAAACAATAGATAGATAGATAGATAGATAGATAGATAGATAGATAGATAGATAAGAGGCTGGGTTAGATAGATAGATAGATAGATAGATAGATAGATAGATAGATAGATAGATTGAGTTTGGTAATGAAAAATAAGATTAGATAGATAGATAGATGAACAAACAATAGATAGATAGATAGATAGATAGATAGATAGATAGATAGATAGATAGATAAGAGGCTTTGATAGATAATGATATAGATTGATAGATTAGATGATAGATAGGTTTGGTAATGAATAGAAAATGAAAACGTGAGATAGATAGATAAAAATGAACAAACAATAGATAGATAGATAGATAGATAGATAGATAGATAGATAGATAGATAGAAAGAAAAGAAAGACAGGATAAGACTGATAAATACAGAGCACGATGAATAAATTGTCGTCTCACTTACGCAAAAATGAATATGTCACTGGCATATCGTTTTAACAATATATTTTGTCTAATTTTGACAAATATACCGAAATTACACAAAAATATCTTGAAATACTAAAGAATAAATTTATTCAATAAAATCGCCATTGGCTTCAATCACGACTTCCAGATCACTTCAGTATCTTCTGCATCTCTTCTGGACGGTCTCCTTGTTTAAGTTGGTGAATGCTGTCATAAGTTTTGTCTCCGGGTGCTGTAAGGTTGGATGTGATAGTGGTGTAATGGTTAACGGCTCGGGATTGTTCCAATATCCCGTTAGGTTAGTTATATTAATTTGCGCGCAAAATTTTTATCTTTTTATCTCTATCTTGCTGTTTCAATTTATCTCTCAATCTCTCTTCTTCCCGTCTACACGCGTGTGTGTATGTGCGTCCGTGCCCGTGTCTGTGCGTGTGCGTGCGTGTGTGTATGCGTCCGTGTCCGTACCATCATGGAGAAAGCAAATCACTAAGAACATAAGTCCTACGAATACGGCTTCCTCGTTGAACAGGTGAGGATCAGATATTTTTAAAATTCAGCGCTGCTTCTGAATTTTAAATGAAAGAAGTGATGGCACCTACACTGAATCCATGATTGAAAATTCAGCATGTCAAAATAATAAATACTAGATACTAAAATACACCGTTGTAGGAATCATTTATGGCAATTTTATATATGGGCTAAGAAAAGAATTCACTCCGTCGTGGTAATTTTGCCCAACACCGCAAATAGACAGAAATTCAAAACTTAAACATCGTCATTAAATAGCCTCGTCAAATCAAGTCTTTGATATGGTTGACACGCATGACGCTAAATTGGTTCAGAAATGTTTAAACTGTGTGCTGTGTACAATTGTTTTTTTCCCCAGCAATTCATAAATAAAAATGCATTCTAGCTAATAGCAAGATAGATTAATCTATCTATCTATCTATCTATCTATCTATCTATCTATCTATCTATCGTTGGTAAGATAAATGAATCTATCTATCTATCTATCTATCTATCTATCTATCTATCTATCTGTCAGCCATTTGATTATTTTTCTCCATTTGTTTATCTCTATATATATATATATATATATATATATATATATATATATATATATATATATATATATATATATATTATAAAAAAGGCTTCCTTTTTATTATATCCTTACTCTGTACTGGACATTGAGTTCTACCTGGATTCTATCCTCTTGGAATTATTTTTTATACAAATATATATGTATGTGTATGCATGTATGTATGTATGCATATATATTTATATATTTTAGATATATGATTGCATATGTATGTGTCTATTTACCACTAATATTATCTATCTATCTATCTATCTATCTATCTATCTATCTATCTATCTATCTATATATATATATATATATATATATATACATAAACTCTAGAAAATAACTATATATCTATCTAGCTGTATATTTACCTAAGTGCACAAAAACATATCAATATATTGGACCGAAGATAGGATCAAAGTTGTAAAATATAGGTAGGCGTTGTGGCGTTGGCTTCTTCCATATTGCAAAATGTGGAATTTCATGCGAAGACACATTTTCGTCTCGGAAATGGTAGCCGGAAGCAAATTCCTAGTTTGGCAAATGAAATTTTCACATCAAAGTCGCAGCAGTTTGGCTGACGTGCCGGAATCTGTCGATCGCGTCTTTTATTACGGTGATTTTCGCAGCAGTCGCGGGCGGAGAAAGATGTTAAATAGGGAACGCGAAAACCGAGACAAGTAAAATGGAAGAGAATCAACTGGTTTGGCATGGAGGTGTGTGGATTGTGCTGGATAAGATGGATTGCAGAGAGAGAGAGAGAGAGAGAGAGAATGAGAGAATGAGAGAATGAGAGAGAAAGAAAGAGAGAGAATGAGAGAATGTTAGAGAGAGAAACAAGATAGAGAATAAGAGAGAGAGAAAAAGAAAGAAAGAAAGAAAGACATAGAGAGAGCGATAGATATTGAGAAAGAGAGTGAAAATGAGAGAGAGAATGAGAAAGAAGGAAAGATATAGACTGAGAGAGAGAGCTACAGATAGATAGATAAAGAAAAAGAGAGTGAGAATGAGAGAGAGAGAAAATGAGTGAGAAGGAAAGAGAGAGAATGAAAGAGAGATACAGTGAGAAAAAGATAGAGAATAATGTAGAGAGAGAAGGAAAGAGATAGAGAGAGAATGAGAGACAGAGAATAAGAGAGAAAATAAGAGAGAAAATGAGTGAGAAGGAAAGAGAGAGAATGAGAGAGCAATATAGAGAGAAATAGAAAATAAGAGAGAGAGAAGCAAAGAAATAGAGAGAGCGATAGAGAATGAGAGAGAGAAAATGAGAAAGGGCGGGAATAAGAAAGAGATAGATAGAATGAGAAAGTGACAGAGAGATGGATAGAGAATATGATAGAGAATAAAAGAGCGAAATAGAGAGAGAATAAGTGAGAGAGATAGAGAGAGAGAGAAATAGTGAATAAGAGAGAGTGTGTGAGAGAGAGTATGAGTGAGAAGGAAAAGCGAGAAAGAAAATAAGAGAGAGAGAGAGAGAGAGAGAGAATAAGAGAGAATGAAAGAAAAAGAGAGAGAATACAAGATCTAATCAGCAGCATGAATGTATTACGCCTCGAATGTTTTCCTGGGTTGCCCTTGTGTCCAGCTGCTTGTTGCTTTCGTCTGCTGTGGTACTCGCCTTTTTGTCGCCATTTCCCCCAGCAACTGTTTAACAGTTTATTATTCTCAGTTTCATCAAAGAGACTTGTTTTTCAGTCAAACTAGTAGTTGATAACTGACACATATAATACCAGTATGAAAATATGGGCAAGCGTAATTCGCGAGACGTGTGCAAAATCAAGCCGGATATGTCGTATTCACTTTTGCACAAATATCCTTAGGAAATATATTACCCATTTGTCTCACTCCACTTAACAGATAAATAGCAAACAAGACAGGGATATAGCCTAGGTTGACACTGAGTGTAAGAGATATGCAAGTTTGACTTAAAAACAGATGAGGTCCTTTTACCGATCTTTTGGCACACTGAAAACCTAAAACTGAACTGTAAGATCATGAGACGACAAAATAGATATTATGTATGCATATATATATATATATGATAAGCAAATATAAATGGATATAAATCCGACAGAATTAAGAAAATATCTGGAAAAACAAAACAAAAATCCTTAAAATGCGATTATGTTGTTTTAATATGAATGAAATGTCGACGTCTGACGTTTCGGTTTAATAACCTTCTTCAGGACAATATTCATTTTAAAATTTTTATTTATCTGTTTTGGATAAGACTTGTTTTTATGTCCATCGTTTTCGTCGTGTTATACTGATTATGTTAATTGTATTTTTAATGAATATTGTCTTGAAGAAGGTTATTAAACCGAAACGTCAGACGTCGACATTTCATTCATATTAAAACAACATAATCGCATTTTAAGGATTTTTGTTTTGTTTTTCCAGATATTTTCTTCATATATATATATATATATATATATATATATATATATATATATATATATATCATAATGAGAAGCCACGTATACCTTTTTAATATGCATATATAGAAATAATTGCAAATTAAAAAATAATAATGATTTTTTATGAAAGTATTTATTTATTTATATATATATTTGAGGTCAATCTGAAATATAAATAAATACTTTCGTAAAAAACATTATTATTTTTTTAATTTGCAACTTTTTATATATACAATATATATTATTATTATTATTATTATTATTATTATACTGATAGTAATAGTCGGTTGGAAAAACCTCGAATAGGAAAACTTATAAGTATATCAAAACAAATTGTTACCCGAGGAAGAAATTGGAATAAAAAAAAAGAAAGATCAAGAGACATCCCAACAGGACGAAATAAATCGTCCAATGCCCTACGGTTTTAATCCAAACAAAAAAAAAGCTGAGTGAGTAAGAAAGCTAAAACGTGGTGTGCTCAATAAATAGAGCTGGGATAAATAAAATAAATCCTAAAGAGCCAGGAACAACCTACCTAGGTTTCACCTAAACGGATCATCAGTGTAATCTGGCCAGATTACTCTGAAGATTCGTTTAGGTGAAACCTAGGTAGGTTGTTCCTGTCTCTTTAGGATTTATCATATATATATATGTATGTATATAAATATATATATATATATATATATAAGATCAAAATATAGTTTTTTATGGTAAATTGGCAATTGCATTTAAGCATGAAGCAGATTGTTGCCGCTTCATGTTGACCTTAGTGTCAACTACTTTGAGCAAAAAGATTGTACAATTACTCCCCAAACTTAACCGAAGTATTGCGATGAAATCAATCATAAACGATATATATATATATATATATATATATATATATATATATAGCATATATATACTAGCCCGGCGTTGCCCGTGCTTGATTCAAAAATCGTACGACCCATACAGAAATCGCTATCACTTGACTTAAAATATTTTGCCCTTCCTTGCTTTTAAAGGAATGCCCTTTGCCGTGCTGATGTTGCTACATGCCTTACTTCTTGCCTATCTCACACTGTGAATTTTTTCTAAGCTCTATACTAAATATTAAATCTGTTACGAAAAAAGAACTAAACAAAATGAACACAAAACGATCAGCTTTAAAAAAAGGACTCGTAACTGGAAAAACCGAATGAAAAAAGAATGTTAACAACAAACACTTTTTCACATCCAACCCAGTTCTGCGGAATCAGAATCAACGTTGAGTTTAAGCAAGCGAATGAGCCAATTGGAGTAAAGTGCCATTCAGATTTAAATTTTTCCCACTTGTGATGAATGCAGCTATAGATTTTTTTGCATACTAACAGGCTAGTTAACATTCGTGTCAGTCAGCTGTTAGCTCTCACGCTGGCCAATAGAATCTTCCTGCCTATTCGTGACAGCCAGCTACAGGTTCTCACACTGGCCAGTAGAAAATGGACGCAAACTACATGAAAACTGCCGTAGAAGCATGAAAAATCGATTATTTCCACTATCGATGAGAGTTGGGAAATGTAAAGTCGGTCTTGGCCTTCCCGCTAACTTGGAGCATGTGCATGTAAATTTTAGTGCAAATCCGTCGAAAATAAATAAAAAAAAAATTATTAGACACTTAAAGTTTATTCATATTGAAAATTAGTTCAAGCTACTGGAACACCCTTTTCTTTACTTATATTATTTTACACTCACTAACACCATGGGCCTGATATACGTACTTTCGTATGGCAGTGAATGCTGGACTATCCCCTCAAATATGATGTAGAGATCTGAAGCAAAAAAAAAATGTCGTTATACAGAATGATGCTGAGGATACCAAAGACCAAACATGTGAGAAACGACAATGTTTTGAAGAAAACGTATACAAAAAGGAAATATATATTTAAAATCAGGAAGAGGTAGTTGTATTTCTGGTGCACGTAATGAGGAAAGAGAACGTGGAAAATCTGATACACACAGGACAGACTGAGGGAAAGATAGACAGAGGAAATGAGCTCGTAATATAATTGATGGGCAAGATACTAGAACAGGGTTTGGGAGAAATAACAAAAAGATAACTCTTATCTAGAGCTACAATGGACGGAAGCTTTTAGAAGACAGTCATTGTCTTCGTTCTGACGGGCTATGGCGTATAAAAGAAAAAGTACCCCCTGCGTATTAGCGGCTCAATTTTTATTACTTAGGGTGACATGATTAAATAGACAAAATAAATACAATAAGAATTTCATGGATTTATTTCTCGTTATTTATAAGTCAAACTGTGTGGTTTTATATCTGAAATAATATATAGGGTATCTGAAAGCAATATCTTGTTTTCTCATTCGTTTTATCGATTGAATGAAAGCAAATAATTTAAACATGCCCAACTTTACACGGTCAGTATGGCTTCATGATTATGATCGGTTCTGTTTGGGAAATAAACAACTATCCAAACAAAATATTAAACGCATGTCTCGTTTTGGATAAAAGACGCTCTACTGTGCGCGCTGTGATTTTGTTTAAATGGGCGAAAGTGCGCGTTCATGGCACGTTCAAACCAAATGAGAGAGTACAGACATCTCTCGATTTATTCGTTTTATTAGGATAACAAAATTTCTGTGTAAATTTAATTGCGTAAAGCGAATATAAATTTGAAACAGTGATAGAAAATGTTGTGGCCTTGTTAGGGCCAGAAAGGCAAGAAAGGAATTGAATTAAACAAATATATTATCAGAAACATTAACACAAACATATACAAACGAGAGTGTTAAAGCAAGAATGTTCGGTCCAACTGCCAGAGCTGATTGCTGGAAACTTCACTATCCAAAAGGCAACATCCTGCTCCTATTTATAGCTGGGAGAGTCCATGCGTGCGTGCGTAAATTGCCGTAACACTATCTATCTATCTATCTATCTATCTATCTATCTATCTATGTCTATTCATATCTATCTATCTATCTATCTATCTATCTATCTATCTATCTATTTGTTGCGGCCTTCTTAGGGCCAGAAATAAAGACACAAGAGATGAATTGATTTAAACAAATATATTAACAGAAACAGTAATACAAACATATACAAACGAGAGTGTTACAACAAGAATGTTCGGTCCGACTCTCAGAGCTGACTGACGGAAATTTCCCTCTGCAAAAGGCAGTACCTGCTCCTAATTATAGCTGGGAGAGTCGTGGTTAAATTATCTATCTATCTATCTATCTATCTATCTATCTATCTATCTATCTATCTATCTATCTGGGAGAGTCCATGCGTGCCTGGGTAAATTATCATAACAGGAAATATTACGTAAGTCGCAAAATCCGTAAACAGTCAAGACCTTTATTGCTTTAATAAAGTTTCTCTTGTGCTATCTTTCCTAATCCTTGTTCTACCAAACGTTTAAACAACACTTTAGATAGATTATGCGCATCCTCCCCGCTTAACATCATGTCTTCAATATGAGTTGATTGTAAAATTCTCCAAGTCCTCTTTTTTGTTTAGGGTATGACAATAAATTACACCCGGCAGCAAGTCTGCAGATCGAGACATTGAAGGTTTTTGAGGAGCGTGGAACCACGATTTAATTGCTGTTGTTCTCATGTCCCAGGGTGGTAGCACCTGCTAGGGAGTTCAATTTATGGGTAAATAGTTAACCACAAATTGGGATAAAACACTACTCGGTATAAAATACATGTGTATAGTAAAAATACCAGGAATGCATTTTAAAAAAATATCACCAGTAATATATTTTGAATGTAAAATGTTAATAGTAATACATTTTACTTTCGACAAAAAAACCCTCTTTGCAAAAATACGTCAATAGAACCTGATATAGAAACTTATTTATTGCAAAGTATACATTTTCTATTCATACAAACTAATCCTAAAAAATCTTGTTGGCATTAAATATCCCATTGTGGTTGATATGCCGTAAAAAGAAATTAAACGAAACCAAACCAATATATATATATATATATATATATATATATATATATATATCTGTGACGTCCCTAAACACAGCCTTCGCTCGCTCCTCGCTGCTTCGTTCGGGTGTCGCCGCTCCAAACGTGACGTCCGCCTGTCGCGTCAGTCGTGTTGTCTCGTCCTGTGACGACCAACTGGCTTGGTATCGGTCGCGGCACCCAAATGTGACGTTCTAACCTTTTGGTGATTCGGATGGGAATCTGGTTAGATTCGATATCAGCCTCGTCGTTTCCAATTCGCTTCCAACGCCTGGTTACCAAAGTAACTGCGTTGATCTCCAGTCCGCCTACCCACGTTGTGAATCGATCTTAGGCAGAGGAAATCAATCAGTCGTTGGGGCCGTAATGCAAGTTGGGTCCGAGCGGGGGTGGTATCGCACAAATACGTATAAAAGAAATAAAATGATAACTCAAAAGTTCAAGGAATCAGAAAAAAAAGGATAACAAAGTTTATGTCTAGTTGTTGGATACATAGGACTGCGTCTATCTCCCGACCCGTTCTATGGATTGTGACACGTTGTTTTCCGTTATGCGAGTTTTAACACTTCAAGCTGTTTGCTCTTTAAGAAATTGGTTTTTTGGTGTGTCTTCGGGCGAAAGTCAAAAAAACTTATTTTGGTGATCTGGATCTAAGTCGTTCTTCAAAATAATTGTTCTTGGATTGAAGAGGAGTCCGGAATTTGCGCGAATCTTGGTCAGCCGATGCGAGGCTGGAACTCTCTGCTGGAACTCTCTGCTGGAACTGTCTGCTGGAACTAAAACTCAAACTGGAACTAAACTGATTTCTGCTCGCCGTGGCCTTGCTTATATGGACGCCGACCAAAACCGGGGTGGGTTTGTCGGCGCTGAGGCTTCTTCGATAATTCTAAATACCTATCCACTTCTCTTATTTTTGGTTTGGAATTTTCCACTTCTTTCCATTTTTGGGAGCCCTCTCTTACTCCCACCTTCTCACCATACTTCAGAGGGGCGTGAACTGCCCTCCCCACTTCTTCGTAGCAACCTCTCATACCCATCCTCTAGATGGGCGGCGACAGCTTCCTCCTTGCGTCACGTGATTACCACTCGGCCAATGTTGTCTAGCCGAGACTGTGCGATTCCGCGGGCTTTGTTTCAGGAAAAAAAATATCTTGCTTAATAAAAAAATTATCTTTTTCTTTTCCTTTTCTTTCTTTTAATCGCAGCTCTCATTTTCTCTGGCCGCAATTAGAACAATGCGATCGGTGGTGGTCGTAACTCTTGTTCTCACCTGGACTTCGTCAGTCATCTTATCGCTAATTATCAGAATGGGTGGTCTATTTGACACAACACAATCGTCCGTCGCCTCAAAAAAAAAAAAAAAAAAAAACATTTCCATGGTTCCATTCATACTTTGTTGCACATTTCTGATAACATAGTTTTATTATCGCAGGCTACAGATGTTCTGTCGAAAGAAAACGGCCAGTCGCCACCTCGTGTGCGGCTTTGACACAATTAATTTTTCATATCTATGCAAAGCCCTGTAGTTCACCTGTTTTATGTCAATTATCAAAATAACATTTCCAATTGGATTTTTCTTTGGCTAGTCGGTCTGTGGTTTGCTTAATCAGATGTTTTCCCGCATTAGCGGTTTGTTTATGTATCCCCGATAACACCAGCCCGTCGCCAGAACACACCCGATTCATTTATCCACTCAGAATTTCCCTGCCATTGTAATGACACTCTTCGCCATTTGTTACTTATCAAAATATCCTTTATCCATAGCCGTGGGTGTCCTACTTATCATCCACGCTTTGAGTCTCGCCTCTCTTTTCCTTTCTTTCCTTCCTCTCTTTCTTTTCTTTTCTTTTTTGCCTCGGTAAATGGTGCCACATATCCTAAAATCGTTCCTCATATTATATATCGTTTAAAGCCGAAACATTGTGTGTATCTAAAACAAGAATAGCGATACGTATAAGAATTTCGATTCCTCATCTAAAAGATACAGGATAAATATTATATATCGATTAAAGCCGAATTGCCGATAAGATTATTTCACATCTCAAAATTACTGATGAGGATATTTAATAGGTTCGAGCTGAAACGTGTTGACTATAACAAACAGTAAATTCCTCATTGTAAATATACCAATAAAAAGTATGAAATCGGTACGAACCGAAACGTTGTAAGTTTAACAAAGTTGAACATGTAGGACTGAATAGTAAAGCATATCATATAGATATATACAAACAGAAATTTCTTTCAGTGGCCTTCTGCCTTGAGTAACTCCTGAGCCATCAATTGGCTAAAAAAAAAAAAAATAAAAAATAGAAGGAATAAAGTACACGCTATTCACAATTCTCGGACTGTTGTCCTCCTCCTTAGTGCTATATTAACGACGTTTATTTCGCTACACGCTTCGGCCTTCTTCGGGTGGTATCAGTTAGAATTTTAAACCGAACGTTTAATTAGCCTACGAGGGAATATGATTGTTCTAATTCCACGTGTCATGCCTTTGGATATATCTTCAATCGACTTTGTTTACTCTGTTGTGGCCAGTTATTGAACTCACAACATTTTAGGTCATTTTAGGATCATTTAACCAAAGCTTTTATCCACTGGGTCAACAGTCCAAACCATCTAGATACTGTAAATAGTTGCAATATCTTAACTTAGAAATATAGAATAAAGGTATATGAATGTATGTTATTTGTTTCAGTGTGAATTATATAATATGATATATAAAGTTAAACAACATATTAATAATCTACAAATAATTTTCAAAGAGCGTTTTTTAAATGCGCAATAAAGATTATGTCACTAGTAATAAATCCTCGTATGTTCTCGATCTCTTAAAATCACCCCGCAGTATCTCTCTCTCTCTCTCTCTCTCTCTCTCTCTATATATATATATATATATATATATATATATATATATATATATATAAATAGGGCAGTGTCAAATAAATTAGGGTACCATATGCTAATACCATTTGCTATAATTCAAATACGGAAGGCATGAATATGGTATCATGTAAAAACATAAGAAGTGAAACTGAAACGAATAAAAGGCTTAGTAGAATGACATATAAATAAATAGAAAAAATTCATTCAGATAAAAATTGCAATCTATTCTCAGTGAGGAGACGCAGATCAAAGAGATTAAGGGTGTGATTAATCGAATAAACAAACAAATGTAATGATATATTATTATCCTCATTAAAAGCATGAATAGTGATATAAAACAAAATTAAAATTTCTAAAAAAGCAACGAGATAGTTCCTTCTATTTATCAATAATTATTACAAAATAAATTCCTTATATTTGGGTTGATAAGTTCGAACAGAGGACAAATAAGATTTCCTTTATTCTTCTTTCACGCACACCTCCACCCCCACCGACACCCACACCCACAAACAAGCAAACACACACACACACACACACACACACACACACACATATATATATATATATATATATATATATATATATGCTTGTGTGCAAGTTAAATTAATAAAATATACATACATATTTTTACTCCATTTTTAATATTCCTTGTCTGTTATTAACTCGATTTTAACTTCCTATCTTGTGTTGTTAACATTGT